CCTGCCCAGTGTTACTGACTATAACACAGTTGACACAATCATGCCCAAATCAGGACATTCTCCCCGTCCGCACCCGTCACACTCCCAAACAGGTCAGCTCAGGCCTGGCTGTCTCAGCTGAAGATCAAGTATACCTTTGCTTACAACAGAGAGGAGTAACTTAATGTGGCATCCAGAGCTTTGGGGGGAAAAGCAAGAAACTGAACACAAGAGAGATCCCACCACAACAACTCTAAGGGATTCAATAAACTCTTTTATTTTTGGCTTGCTAGAATTTTACATTACATATTCTTGGAAATAAGTGGGTCATAGACTAATGCTAAGAAATGTTTCATAATAAAGATATTCAGGTTGTAACGTAACTGTTGTTATAGGATTTGACCTAAATAGGAAAAGAAACTCAACAGAGCTTTCTCAACAGAGCTCTTTGAGGATGGATGGTGCTAAGTTCCCAGGGGAAAGAGCAGCTCTCTCTAATAAAAGCTAAAGACTCCACCCCTCCCATAAGGCGTTCTTGCTGTGAAAACTAGAGAGATGAAACACGCCTGGGACGTAGGAAAGGCATGGACTTCAGAGTCGAAGGGATCAGAGTCCAAATCCTGGCTGTTCCACTAACTACTGTGTGACCTCGGGGGAACTCAGTCATGACTTCTGCGTCTCAATGTTCTCATCTAGGAAATGGGGGTAGAGGAACCCTAACTCACAGTTATTGTGCGGAGTGAGATCGTATTTAGAAAAGCCCCAGGCACCGTCCTTGGCACACAGTAAGTTCTCCATCAACACTAGCTTCCCTCTTCTCTTTTGATACCAGCATTTTTTATACAATTTTCCAGAGCTTAATAAATTGCTTCAGTGAAAAACTTGCCCCTTGTGTCCCACGAGACATAGCAGAGAGATTCCTAGAAAGAGAATCAGAGGACTTCTTGGAAGTTCCACTTCTGTTACTTACAAGTCAGACCCTCCCTGGGCTGTCTCCTAACCACACTCCCCCACCCAGGATGGCAATGCGAATTAAATGAGATAATGTATGAGAAAGCACTTTTTGAAAACCATCAAGTGCACTACAGATGAGGGAAAGTACTATCTTTTGAGTGCAGTTCATAGACAGACATCGACGTCGGTCTACTTATGGGGACCCCAGTGGAGCTCCAGCCAGTGTGTGAGCCACGCCAGAGAAGACAAACCCCAAAAAGGAAGCACGAGCCAGCTGCGGAGGACACAGTCCAAGTTCAATCATGCGGGTGGATGTGGTCTCAAATCAGATGGAAATAAAGTGTAAGCTCATTAGTTGCAATTGCTTGGGTCCTTTCTAAAACTAACAGCATTAAGAGGGGTCTCCACAGGGTCCAGAGCAGGGGACTAAATGGAGAGAACAGAGAGTCTACCCGGTTTCTTCATCAGTGTTCAAGGAAGAAGGACACCAGGGATGGCAGATATGACTGTTCCAGCCACCAGGGAGATGGACTGCACTGTAGGACAGAAATTCAGCTTTTCCAAGATAAAGTAGTGGCCACCTAAAGCCCTCCCCTTTGATTCTCTTATCGCCACCACCAATAACAACAATAGTTGCTATCATTACTAGCAACTGCCATTTCTGAACCCTGTTTACCAGGCACTGGGCTAAGCGCTGTCTGTGCCTCCTATCATTCAATCTCCACCACAGCCCATGCCTAGGGCGCTGTTATTACGCCCATTTTACAGATGAACAAATAGCTATTCCAAGTATCAATCTGGAAAATCTTTATCCTTAAGAATCTTTAATGCAAAATCCTTAAGCTCAGGGAAAGGACATGTAGGTCAAGAATATTCCAGTCTCTCAAAGAATTTCCCTTGATGAACATAAATCAATATTTTACTTTTTCATCTTCAATAAAAGATGGAGAAAACTGACGTGGTCAAGTGGAGATGGTCAGTCACACGTAAACCTTGAAGTAGGATCCAAGAGTCCGAATCTCCAGGCTTCTTTGTGGCAGACAACTTGGCTTTAACATCATTGCTTCCTTTTCAGGCCTAAAAAGAATTACACTGACTAATGCGACAGCAGCTTCAGGTGGGGGACAATGGAACCAATCAGAACAACTTGGACAACTTGACATCGGATAGGGCACAGTGATTTCACTTCCTGCGTCTTATTCTGTACATAAGGGAGAAGAAAAGACCTCTCAGCCATCACCCTAAAAAAAAATTAGAAAGAAAAAAGCCGCCAAGCCAGGGCTCGGCAATTAGTGTTGGAGTAAGTGATCATCTTGTGATTGCTCAGCTGGGGCCTGAAGACTTGTAAATGCATTTAGAGGCCAGAAATAGAAGATGTTGTGAGAGAGAGTAGAGAAACCTGGCCCATTTGCCAGGAGAAAATGTCCTGAACTGCCGGGAAATTCACTCAGTCGGGATTTAGGGCGTGTCTTCATAAATGGGAAAAGTTAATAAATAAACCCAGGGATGAAGCCAGTGCCTACGCCTCGACCTCTTGACTCTTCTCTCTATGACTCAGGCTCCTCTGGAAGCCCCACTGTGCCTGTTGGAGCCCCTCGACCACGTGCTGACCTTCTCACATCAAGCTGAGCATCCAACTCACCCAGTATGTAGTCAGGCCTAAATTGGGCGTAGACTGACAGTGACCCATGTTTCTTGCTCCTGATCCCCCTGCAGCCCACAGCAAACACTTTGACAAGAGCTAGTCAATGTGTCCAGGAGAAAACAAGGCCCAAGGTCACGGGCAGGCTCACTGGCGTCATCAGAACCTACTCCAAACAGACTCCTCCTGCCCCCAAAGCCTTGGGAATCTTGCAAAGCCTCACCAGCCTGTCACTGCCACAACCCAGCAGACCCCAGATCATCCCCAAAGAGACAGGGGGTCAAAGCCCTCTTCCAGGATCTCCAGGTAAGTCAAAGACCTATTCCAGTACATCCCACTTCAGAGACACCCGTAACCCGAGGCAGCCCCCACTCCCACTTCCGTGGCCTGTAGAAACACAATGGGTCTCTGAAGCCCTCTTGATTTCCCCAAGAGCTATGGGTAACACAATACCCTAGCCTCTGAGCATCCAGCCATTGTCCTCAAAGAGGACAAAGCTTCTCCCATGTTGACAGCTTCTCTCCCCCAAATGTGACCCCAGACCACAAACTGGCACTCCATACATCATATTCTACCCACGGAGTGGGTTTTTTGGCCCATGGAGTTGATAGGTTTATTTTTAGTTGCCTGTATTTAAAACTTGAGAGGTTTCACTGGACCTCCAGCTCTTCCTGAATAAACAGTGAGTCTGGCAACACGAGGCCCCACCTCCACACAGCAGCCATCAGCTGGAAGTGCTCACTGGCTGCCCCTTTCCAGGGCACATGTGGTCCCCAGCCCCTGCTGTCCCCACCTGGTCCGCCGTAGGCATTTCAGCTTCATGACCCTTATATGAGTCAGCATGAACAGGGAAACTTCTCAGAGGTCAAAAGTTCCTCCCCCTGGGATATTTTTACTGTGAAACTCAAATCCCTAATAAAATAAACACCTGGAACATCTGGTCCAAGGCCCTCCTCTGCTCCCAGCTACAACCCCCAGCTGCAAAGAACCCACATCAGGAGAATCCCACCACAGAGGCTCAACTAGGGCCAGCGGGCGAGAGCTACATGACACAGTTGAGAGGGAGGTCTCGGTCCCCCGCAGCGAAGACATGGGGCCCTGAGCAACGGCCGTACAGTATGCTATTTCCAGAGGGAGGAAAGAAAGTTCAGCACAAGACAGGGGTGGCCATAAGGGATAAAAAAAATATTTATCAAGCACCCACTCTGTACTTGGGAAAAGACGCAGAAGCCTGGGGGTGAGGCCAGGACCCCACAGAAGAGAAACGACTCCCCACCACAGTGCTCCATGATGTCTTCTCTTTCTGCACCTCCCCTCCCTGCCACTTTCCAAGAGCTGCCCTTGGATGGCCTGCCTCTCCCATGAGATTCCTCCCCACCCAGGCTGCCCTTCCATTATCAAATGCAAAGCGCTTCCACCAGTGCAATTCTCAAGCGGCCAAAGGCAAGACTCGGTGCATATCATTCCTCCATTTTCTCCCCAAATACAAGACTCCACTCCCCTGGTTCCTGCGGAATCTCTGCTCTTGGGGAACATGCCCAGTAGATGTCCAAGATGGCCACTAGCCTCAAAGAAGAGCTGACTGGACAGCAAGCACCCCCCACAGACGCAGTGGATTGGTGCTTCCCCTGATGGCTCGCCCTAGGCCTCCTTCGAAGCCCACCTTCTCCCCAAGACGTGGCGATCCTCCAGCTGAATCTGAGGCTTCAGCCCAGAACCTGGCTTGAAGAGGAAGCACCAAGCTCACGCAATTCCACCCCCAGGTCTAACCAGAGCCAACCCTGAGGAGGCCCCTCCACCATCAGACATGGCAGGTAGGCAGAGGGGAGGGGTGGGGAAAGGGAGGCACTGGCAGACAGGAGTCTCACCAGAGCCATGTGACCTCCAGCTTGTCCCAAAGCTGTGTGACCTTCTATACACTTGTCTCCACTTCTCAGAGCTTTTCTCCATTGAACCCAGGATCTATTTAGACGTAACACTTGGTCTAGTCCTGCTTTCCGTCTTCTTCCAACCCCAGACCCCGACACACATACACAGTTGTGGACCTACAAATGGCCTTAAAAGTGTAGCGGTCACATCATATGCTACACTTACATGTGGAATTTCCTACCATTTACATTCTCATAAATTGCAAACTTCATCATGGAAAGTGAACAAACTTGGGATTCAGGAGAACCTCCCTCTACGCCCTGGTTCTAGGCTTTCTTTCCAACAGGAAACTTAGAGATCATCAAATCCAAAACGCTCATTTTAAGAGGCAAAATCGGAGGCCCACAGAAGTTACCGGACTTGCCCCAGGGCGCACCGCGGCAAAGCTTAGGTCTAGATCTCAGGTCTCTAGCTCCCTGGCCCAGGACTCTCTCCCTGCCGTGGGCCCCCCACCCACCCGCCCACTCCCTGTGGCCCAGCACCCAGCTCTACTCACATATAGCGCAAGTGGGGGTTCTTGGCAAAGGCTCTGGGTTGGATGCTCCGAAGTCCTGAGTTCTTGATGGTCCTGGAGAGAGAGAAAAAGATGGTCGGCAGAGCTTAAGGGAAGGGGGACACTTCCTCCGGTCTAAAGCTGACAGGAGGTCAGGGCTAGACTGGCCCTGCAGCTGCATCTGTGAACTGAATCCCTTCTTCATTGTCAGCCATCACTGGGTGGTCCAATCGGGGGTTTTCGGGGAGGGGGGGGCATCCGGGCTCACACCCCACTGGGACCTGGGGGAGGGTTCAGGATGTGAGTGGGCAGGGCTGGCAGCTGTCCTCCACCCATCCTGGCCAGTAGGTAAGGGCAGAGCTCCTGCTCACAGATCTGGTCCAGCAACCACAGGGCTGCTGCCCGCTTTGAGCCATCTCCCTCCCTCCACCCCAAATCCCCCACCGCCAATAGCACTAAGGTCCAAAGGAGGAGGTGGCTGGGAAATCGCATACTCTATGGGGACCGTGAGTCAAGCACAGGGCTGAGGAAAGAACACTAGCCTGGGAGACCTGGGTTCAGGTCCTGCCTTGAAACCCTATGCACAGGGTGAGACCTCACACGACCCCCTTACCTCTGGAGGCTACGGTGGAATGTGGGAGTGAAATGGGGAAGGCTTTGAAGCCCCTGGCATTCCCTAAGTGGGCGGTGCCAACTCTATTAAAAGAGGACCCCCTCACAGGGGAAGTGCAGACAGCAGCCCAGCAGGGCCCATCACTCGGCCCCGGAAGGTGGACAGGTGGACCCCCACCCCTTCCACTGGGCGAGGCCCCTCCCGTGACCTGGCGCACTCACAGCTTTTGGAGGCCAGTGTAGAGCTCCATGTCCACGGCGTTGAGCGTGTGCAGGCCGCGCCAGTTCTCTATGTGTCTGCAGGGGAGGAGGAAAGGCAGGGTTCAGGTCAGCGGAGGGGCCCAGGGAGATGCACCGGCTTTAGAGCCAAAGGGACCTGGGCTGGAATCCTGGATCGGCCACATGCGAGCCAGGCCTCCTGCCAAGTCACCAAATCTCTCTGAGCCTCAGTTTCTTCCTCTGCACAGTGGGGTGTACACCACCTGCCCACCAGGGTCGTTGTTAGGGCCAAAGTGCCTGGCCCTTGGACAGCACTGAATGTCCCCCCTCGGCTCCAGAAAGACTCTACTCTTTAAAGACTTGATACCCAACCTCCCTGTGGGTCTTCCTGACTTCTTCTTTCTGTCCCCTCTCCTTCATTTTCATCTTTAGGATTTCCTAAGCAAAGGCTCATTTTCTCAGTTCCTGCCCATAATAATGACAATACAAATGACTCGGAAACAAAAAGGGGTGCGAGAGTGGCTTGCTGGTGGGCACGACTTTTGGGTAGGAAAAGGCAGGAGGAACACACACCTTCCTCAGGGTCCCCAAGGGTCCAGACACTGAAGTCTCAACTTGGGTGACCACGGCCCAATCCATATGGAGTTCAAGAACACCAATGGCTTGTTTTGGCAGAACTGACTCCACAAGGAAAGGGACAACCAAGGGACCAGGGAGGCACCACAGTGTCACGGAAAGTATGTGAGAGTGGCAGTCAAGGAGTCCAACGCTAGCTTCATCTCTGTGATTTAAGAAGCCAGTGGCTGTGAGCGAGAGCTTTGAGCGAGAGCTTTGACCTCTCTGGGCCTCTCGCATCTTCCTTTGTAAAGGAGGAGGGTTGCACTAAATGGACAGTTTCTGGCCCCTTCTCATCACAAAGATCTCCTTTCAGAACTTCTTCCCAAAAGAGATCTCAAGTTTCAAGAGGCTTGTGTGGAGCAAGCACACTACATTTATTAAGTAATAATTAATTCATCTTCTTGGATTTATTAATCAAAGATGTAAATCACCGTTAACCAGAGCTTTTCATCAACAGATATAAACCAGCCCTAACTTGCCCAGTGGATAAATTCCACCCCAAAGCAAAGGAACTCGCTTTGCTTACAGAAAGTTCTGTAAGCATGGGAGGGCTTGTCATGGGTATGGCTTTGATTTCTGTTAGGTATTTTGTTTTGTTTTTGATATTGACAAAACTCCAGGGACAAACATCCTCCACTACTGCTTTTGGGGTCCCAAAGTTGAGAATCATCAGACCAATGATGACCAAGCCCCTTTCCAACTCCACAGCTGTACCAGAGGCTACCGTTCAGACACAGCTGCCATCCCAAGGAGCTCCAAGGGGACAAAGCCTTCCACTGCCCACCCAGCCCTCCCGAGATCTGACTCTCCCATCAGTGCCCCCGAGGGCCCAGCACCCTCTTTAGCCAGGAGTGCAGACGGGTGACAGCTCACCCTAGGACGGAGTTACTGGAGGCCCACTCAGGCCAAAAAAGTGGCAGCCACCTTCCCCAGACATCTCCTCTCTGGCCCCAGCGCACCCGCGGCGCTGCCATCTGCCACTGAGTGAGCCAGAGCCAGAAAGGCAGCAGGGTGGCAGTGGCCAGGGCCCCTGGAAGCATTTCAGAGCCACACAGTGACAAGGTATGCCGTTTTGTACCACATTCTCTCGGAGCCCCCGCTGAGCAGCCAGACACACTGGCATCTGCCAGGGACGTGGACCAGGTGGCCAGGTCGGTATTGGATTCCAACTCCAAAGTCTTCTCCCTGGGAGCCTCATGGCCCCAGGGCAGTTTGTTTGGTCTGGTCCCACCAAGGCAGGGGCCCTGGCTCCGTTTCAGATGAAAAGAAAGGGCAGAGGAGTAGAACGACCTGTGCCAGTGCCCCCCGACCCCAGTGTGCTCACTGGGCCATGGGTCCATGTAAACTACCAAGTAGATGTCAGTACTCCTGCAGACGGCCGTGCATTCGTGCGAGCCCAGCTGCAGACAAGGATCTGCTCCCAATAAGCAGCTATCAATCAAGTTGTTTAAATAAATGAAATCGGGTTTTTTTAGCCCACATTAGAATTCCATAAACGTGTTTTACGAGGGTTGAGTTGTCAATCATCATTGCAATGATTCACCTTCTCAGCCCTCATGTCCACAGATTGACCCTCCTCCCACTCAGGCGCACACCAGGATACGGCAGGGCCATGCATTAACTCCTTGGTGCAAAGGGCTCCTGGTCAAAAGAATACGCCCTTGCTTCCTCTGTCGGGTCTGAGTTTTCCTATATCAGGGAATCGCATTTTTACAGCCACAGTGCAAAGTGTGGTTAGGAGTCTGGTCTCTAGAACGGGGTCAGCAAGCTTCAGCCCACTGGCCAGATCCAGCCCACTGCCTGTTTCTGTACAGCCTGAGAGCTAAGAATAGCTTTTACAGCTTTAAAAAAAATCAAAAGTAGAATCCTATTTTGTGACATATGAAAATTATACAAAATTCAAATTTGAGTGTTCACGCCTGTTCATTTACTATTGTCTATAGCTGCTCTCGAAGTAAGCATGGAGCTGAGTGGTTGCTGCAGAGACCATATGGCCTGCAAAGCCTCAATTATTTACTTTCTGGCCCGTTATAGAAAAAGGTTGTGGGCCCCTGCCTAGAGCCAGGCTGCCAGGATGCATATCCTGGCCCCATCGCTACCTCTGTCTACGTGACCCTGCCAGATTATTCCACCTGTCTGTGCCTCAGCTTCTCTATCTGTCAAATGGGGAAAATGAAATACCTCCAGCATAACAATGATGCGGGGATTGAAAGACTACGTTAAAATTCCCTTCCCAGCAGCCAGGGGCCCACAGTATGTCCTCAGGAAGTGCTGGCCGGCCACGAGGATTATTTTTAAGCCTGCGCCTTGCAGAGGCTGAGCAGTCTTCTCAGTTTTCAAGCTAAAAACGGTATCACGGTTCTGCTGGAAGTTGTCATTTCTCAGCCATCATTGATAAAAACTCCATGTGGCAGAAGGGTGGAGGGGTAGTAAGCCTGTCATTCACGACCTCCAGGAAAATGCTCCTGCAGAAGTCACAAACAGGTTCAGGGGACGCGCCAACGGCAGCTCAGGGCAGTTTCCAAGGGGAGCACGGGGCGGTGAAGGCGCAGCCTGACATCTGTGGATGACATCGGCAGGACGCCTGCCAAGCTCTCCTATGACTCACCACTTGTACCAGCCGGGGGTCAGTTCTGGTAACGCTGCTGGCTGCTTTGCACCATTAGGGAGGCCGTGAGTTTCAGTGGAAAAGGCAGGCTCTAAAAATACAATAAATAACTAAGATAAGGTATGAGAGCAGGTTCAGCCTGCCTTTGTGCGTGGTAAACGGTGGGTACCTTGGCCTGGTACGATTACAGGTGGCTTCTCCATTTTTGCGCTTTTCTAGGTCATCCAGCTGTCTTCATCGGGCATTTATTTTATCATTTGAAAAACGATCAGTGACTACCATCTTTTTAAAGGAAGGTTAGGTTTTGAACGTCGTGTAGGGCAGTCACCGGTCCCCCTGTTTCCGGACCACAGGCTGCCCCAGTCCATCCCCGCAGAGGCGTCTTGAAAAAGAACGCAGAGCGACACCAGGAGCAGGGGCCCCCGTGTGAGATGCTGCGTTTGTCCGCTCTGGTCTTGGGAACAGCGGCCAGCAGCCTTGTGCTCAATCGGGAGCCCCTACCCTCACCAGGAGCAGGAGGGGAGGGGTAGAGAGGAGACTAAGGGGAAGACCCCGGGCCCCCATCCTGACTTTAGTTAGCTCCACTTTAGTCTCTTGTAATACAGTGGTTCTCAGCTGGAGGCAATTTTGGCCCCCAGGGGAGATCGGGCAATGTCTGGAGACTTTTTTGGTGGTCTCACCTTAGGGGAAGGGAGTGATATGGGCATCTAGTGGGTAGAGGCCAAGGACGCTCCTAAACATTCCAGAAACGCACAAGACAGGCCCCACAATAAATAATGACCAGCCCACAACGTCCATAGTACTGAGGTTGGGAAATGCGACTTGATTCCATCAGGCTTCCGCCTAAAACTGCCATTGAAGCAAGAGTCCCAGGGCTTTAAACAGCAACAACTTTGAAGACAACCGCTTTGCAGCAAACACAAAGAGGCCCCAGACCGAAACCAACAGGCTTGCCTCCAGGTCACTGGGTCCAAGTGAGAGGAGAAAATCAAAACCAGGGCTCCTGGACCCTCTCTAGCCAAGGACAGTACTCGAGAGGAAGTGAGGGATGCTTTGGCCCCCTGGACGATGGCCAAATCCAGGTTACACATTCCAGAAGCGACAATGGTCTCTGGATGGAATCCACTGGCCAAGGGTCTTTTCCCTCCAACACAAGTTCCTCTTGTGCATTTCTCAGGCCCTCTCATCACGTGGCAATGTGAAATGCTCCATCCAGAGAGGCAGCTGGGTGCCCTGTCCCTACCTCTGGCCACCGCCCTTCCTTCACACCCCAGAATCACGACTCTTTGCCAAGAGCTAAGGTGCAACACTTTTCCAGAGAGAGGGAGGAAGTGAGGCTTAAGTCATGACAACGCTGAGCTCCCGAGCCAGACCCGTGCTTAGGGCTGCAGCTCAGAAAACCTCCGCGAGGTCCAGGTGGGCCCCGTGGTCAGAGAACGTGCTGCCGCCAGGTAGACGTGGGTGGATCAGAGCCAGAGGATCGCTCAGGTGCAGAGGCTCTTCAGAAGCATGAAAAGAAACTACCCAAAATGAAGCCAGTCCCAATGCTTCCCAACAGCGGCTCCAGTCCTGGAGCAGACAAACCCAAACCACAGACAGCTGCTCCACATCCATTTTGGGGATGAACTAGGGCACAAGCGAAATATTAATTGATACATCCATAGAGAATTCAAAAGTCCTTCAGGGTGGAATAAATTTGATTGTGCTTTTGTACCAGAGCTTTCTTCCTCCTTCTGTTTGGCTTGGGCCAAAATGGAAATGAATTGGCAATCTCCAAGTATACAAAAATTAGATGGGACAGACTGTGTGGCCCGTATTTTAATTAAAAACATGTCATGTGGATATGTTTAAGAGTTGTTTATAACTCCAATATTTAAGTCTTATATATAGAAAACTCTAGAGCACTGAGACGTCCACCTCCATCCAACACCAGGGGACTAAGTTTGTTGGGGAGGCCCATGAGAGGGGCAGGGCATCGTTCACCTGACAGAACTTTCCTTGTCACCTCAGTATTAGGCAAGACAAGGGCCTGGTTGGTGGCAGTGGGACATGGGTCCCAGTACCGCCCCATCTTTCCAACCTTTTCTCTCTCCTCCCGTGCTGGCAGATCCCTATTTTCACTGTGACTCCTCAGTGCTATTAATGAGCTGTTCCTCATAACCAAATTTTCCAGACAACTAAATTTAAATGCAAAACCTTTGCATGTTCAGCTTCCTTGCTGAATGTTCCTTTTGTTCCCCTGAAATGCATTCCACAACTCCTTGACTTCTTAAGCAGAGTAGGCAGAACATGACTTACATTTTCTTGATGATCTTGGATCGTCACGACCAACCTAACTAGTCTGCTGAGCTGTAATAGAGCGGCCCCCTCAGCAGCTCTTGATGGATGCAGAATCTGTGCCCCTACCCAAAAGGGCCCTATCCTGATATCATTCCTGAATTCTAATGGTTATTGCACGCATTTTTAACAGTTTTCTAGCTCCTTGCTATCAGGCCGTGACCATCACCCCTGGAGCATCTGGCCCGGGGCCCTCCTCCCTTCCAGCCTGCTCTGCAGCCCTGTGGAGCCCAGAGACTAAGAGGGGGCACCCTGGAGCCAGGCTGGCCTGGAGACCACACCCAGCTCTGGCACTTAGAAGCTGGATGTCCCTGGGCCAGTCACTTAGGCCTCTGCAGTCCTCAGTTTCCTCACAGGAAACTCAGTTGTTGTAAAGATTAGATGAGGCAACGCCCAAATCCTCGATGCACTACTGATGCATGGCGCTAGTGCGATAAACAGCTGAAGGCACTACTATTGTTGGAGTTGTGTTAGTAAGAGTAAATCAAATCTGAATAAGGATCTAAGTGAATACGAGAAAATTCACATACACGCACATACACACCCGCACTCACACAGAGATAGGTAGATATCTGCCCTGTTTCCTTACTGTGTTTCTCATCTCCTTTCTGGATGACCGAGGCTGCCAGATAACTGAAATATTCTTGGAGGCGTAGTCATAATTCACATTTTCCTGGTGGCATCTAAGTGTACACCACTAATATTATGTTCTGTATATCCATTCTTGGAGGGGCACCCTGGCAGGAGGCAGTTGAAATGCATTTCTCAGACATTTCTGTATACGAGTACTCCAGTCCTCCAACACAGACCACGAGAGCTTCATATAAGACTGTGTAAGATGTCCCTTCTCTCTGGACCGTCCCCCGTCAGACCTGGGGCTCTCATCCCCTTCTCACCTGAATCCTGTTCTAAGATGGAGGCCCGAACTGAAGTCTGGAGTTCACTGCCTGGGGAAACTAGCCTGGAATTCCAGTTCCTCACAAGTCAGCATGGGAGCTGGCACATGCGTGAGTGCATGCACACACACACGTACACGCACAAGAATGTGCTGTGCATCTGATTTCGAAGCTTTGTAGGGCAGTGAGGAAATTGATTTGTTATCCAGGCATATTATGTCTAGTGATCCAGACAGAAGCATTAGCTTTCAATTATCTGATATGTTTAGCATTATAAACAAACCGTCTGGAGCAACAGCTCCACGGAGCTCAGGCACCAAGGCGGCTGGGGAGGAGATGCATCGGATCACACCAGCCAAGTCACCTGGCTCTCCTTCCCTTGACAGCTGTCAGGGCGGGTACTAGATGCCTGGGAAGCTGGACCCAAGAGTCTGGGGAACCTTCTTGGGCTGGCAACCCCAGCATGCCAGCGCATTAGCACACCAGCTCTAGAAGCAGCTGCACACCAGGGACCACATTGAACAAGACCCGCACCCGGGACCCCCCGGGACCACAGAAAGGAACATTCAGATCATGCGGTGAACAGATGGGAGACAACAACATCTGTTTTGGCTTCCTGCGCAATTCCAAAGCTCGTGCCAGGAACGGGGGACGTTTGTGCACACACCTGTGCTCTTCAGGTGCTGAGATGCTGCGTCTCCTAACAGAGAAAAGATCAAGGGCACGCCCAACTCCCAGGAGTGAGACTTCATGTGGGAGTCAGCCGGTTCGCTGGGGAGTCTAGGCGGTCCTGCCTGGCCCCAGGCCTGCAACCAGACTGGCCTGCCCCCACCAGTCTATCTACTCCTCTCCACTTCACTGCTGCCACCTGGGCGGGTGGGTGCGGGACCCCGGAATGCCCACAGGTCAGCACACCAGGTAGCCACCACCTCTAACCTGCCATCAACACCTCCTGACTGGCCTCCCTGCCCTCAGCCTTCCCCTCCATGAGTCTCGACGCCAGCACCATCACAGTCTCCCCTACGTAAAACCCTCCACCACTTCCCTTAGCTCTTCCAATCAAACCCAAACCCTGGACCACGGCCCACAATGTCCCGCATGAGCTGGCTCCTGTCTGCTTCTGCGGCCCCGTCTCTTAGCACCTTCCCCTTGTTTCCTGGGCCCCAGCCACACTGGCCCGCATTCTGTTCTTTAAACACACCAGGCTGATTCCCAACCGGAACTCCCAGGACACACTTCCCGGGCCCTTTGAGTCCCTCAGGTCTGCGCTCAGAGGTCACCTTCTCAGAGAAGCCTGCCCAGACCCATGTGGGCACCCCCCTCCTTTTCCCTTCCAGCTGCTCTCTGGCACAAGCCCCTGTGTGTGTCCTTCACAGCCCTTAATAACCATCTGTAATTGTCTTATTTGATTATTTGATTACATGTTTGTCGTCAGTGTCTCCACACTGGAACGATGATGCATGAGAAAAGGGAGTGTATCCGTCTCATTCACCACCAGAATCTCAAACGAGGACAGTTACCCCAGGATAAGTACACACATGGGAAGCCACCCAGTGTGTGTCAGAGGCTTCCATGCTCAGCTCCCACACAGCCCTTTCCATGGGCCCCCCAAGAAGACCGGAGCCCTGGTCTGACTCCACAGGCACCCCCGACTAGATCTCTGAGGGGGCTTGTGGCCCAGGGCACACCATTCAACATCCCAGTTGGGGACGGGCATCCTGGGGAATCACTACAGAGCCCAGCAACAGGGCAATACCAGAGGTCTCAGGAGGCCCATGGACCAGATCTCCCTCCCGGGCCCAGATCTCAGGTCTGCTGCTTACGGTCAGTGTCAGGAGTGGGGAAGTGGACAGGGCCCCCTCTCGCCAAACACAGGAGGAGATGAGACCGGAATGCTCTAGGCACCTTGTCACATCTTTTCTATCCTTCCCTTCCCCCACATGACTACGACCTTCACCAGAGCATGAGTTTTCTGAGGGCACCGACCAGGAGTTTGCATCTCCAGTGCCATGCAAATGCTCAGTGACATCTGAGCAAATGAACTAATGAATGATGAACGAACCCACAAAGGGATCAACAGCAAAACTAAAGCATTTAGCACTCGATCGGCAACTCCTGTGGATCTTTCCCTCAACCCCTCTCGCCTTCTCAAGAACTCATTGATTTCTTCTCTCTCTTCTCCGCACCCTCACTTTCTCTCTGCTGGATTTTCTCATCAGCATACAAACATATTCTAGGAGATCCCATTTAAAAGGAACATCTCCTGGACTCCATGTCATCCTCCAGCTACCAACTCATGTCTCTACACCTCTTTATGGCAAATGGTATCAAAAGAACTGTCTACACTCTTCGGCCCTACTTCCTCACCTCCCTTTGATTCTTTATCCCAATTTGTCTTCTGTCCCCACTACTCTACTGAAACTACATTGTCAAGGTCACCAGGGATTTCCACACTGGCAAACCCAACAGACTTTTCTCTGCCACCCAGTTACCCAATCTCTCAGCAGCGTTTGACTGGGTTAAGCACTCTCTCTTTCTTGAAACATGCTCTTCCCTACAGATTCCTTAACTCCACTCTCTCCTGGGCTGCTTTCTCCTCCCCTGGCTATTCCTTCCAGTCTCCTTTGCTGGTCCTATATTCTTTGTATGATCTCTAAGTGCTAGAGTCTCTCAGGCCTCACCCCCCCCCACCATGCCATGGCGATCTCACCCGCGTGCTGGCTCTGAATACCGCCTATGCTCCGATGGCGCCCAGATGTTTATCTCTAGTCAGGCCTCTCCCCCAAGCTCCAGGCTCCTCCTTGCTATCTCAGCAGGTCCAACACCAGCCCTTGCTTTCCTCCCACTGGGGCCTTCTCCATCGCAATAAATGGCACCGGTAGCACCCAGTTATCCAAGCCAAACTCCATCATCGATCCTCCCATGTCCACACCTTAGCAAGTCCATGCCCACAATGGAAATCAGCTTGGCCCACTTATCACCACCTCCACTCCTATCCCCTGGGCCCACACCACCATCCCCTCTCACATGGACCACCGCCTCCAAAGCATGAGCACTGCCTCCACTCCAGCCTGACTAGAGTCTGTCCTCCAGGCAGAAGCCGGAATGAACATTTTATAATATAAATCTGATCACGCCCTCCTCCTCCACCCCCACCCCCAAAACCAAACCTCCAATGGCTTCTCCTGTATGTGGGAGGAAATGAAGACTCTGCCACGGCCAGCGAGATCCTACAGGTCTGGCTCATGCCTCTCCCTCCTCAGCTCACACAAACCTCACCCTTGTTCACGTGGCTTTAGTCTCGCCAGTCTCCTTTCTAGTGTCCAAAACACCAAGCTCCCTCCCTCTGCTAAGGGATTTGTGTTTGGTTTTTCCTTAAAAGCACTTGCATTCTCTTTAAATGTCATCTCCTCCGAGAAGCCCTCCTTGGCCAACCTACTAATGTCCTTCTGTACAATCTTCCTCCGGATCAAGTGTTCTCAAGCCAGGGATGGATTTTGCCCCCCAGAGGACATTTGGCAAAGTCTGGAGACATCTTTGATTATCACGACGTGGGAGGTGCTACTGGCATCCAGTCAGTAGAGGCCAGGGACATTACTAAATATCCTACAACACAGGACAGCACCCTCACAACAAAGAAGGATCCAATCCAAAATGTCAATAGTGCCAAGCCTGAAAAACGTTGCTCTGGGTATTTCCTTTATATCACTTGCCAAAATCCATCATTATCTCATGTACATGTTTACTTGTTCATTGTGTCTCTCCCATAACAGAATGCAAGCTCCATGAGGGCAGGCAGCCTGTCCATCTTGTTCACTACTACATCCACAACACCCAGCCCAGTTCCTGTTGAACCAGGAACTTAAAATTTAAATGAATAAAATAACAAATGACTGTCTTTCCTCAGAACCCTGGGACCTTGTGGCAAGTCATGAAAAGGCTCTCGTTCCCAAGGTCTTGACGAGACCAGCATCTTCTCCAACCATTCGAAGAGACTAAGGTGTAAAGAAGCAAGCTGTGCCCATGGGGTTGGGGCCAGGGGGCCAGAATCCTGTGGCCCCTAGGAGACAATCTCCTCTTATCTATGGATGAATCAAACCACATTGATCATAAGACCTCTGATCGCTCCCAGACATCTCAGCTTTGAACTAGGAGAGAAACAGGGGGTCTTTGATGAAGAGCAGAAACAGCCTGAGGGGGAGAGAGAGACACATTGACTTTGACCCTTTCTCCCCAAGAGGCCTTTCTCCCAACAGGAGAAAGTCGGAGCAAGAAGCAGAGTCTGGTCCAGGCCAGAGCAGCTGGCTTGAAAGTAATCCAATAGTGCGAGCTCTGTGCCTAAGATCAGCTGGCCCCAGGGGTCCGGAGAGCACCGCCCTTCGGGTGGCCAATTTCCTTAGGAAAATATGAAATGGCCAGGCCACCCTTTACTGAATTATAAAGCACTTATCACTTCTTTAATACCTAGCCACATGGAGGGCTTAATTCACTCAATATGGAAGTTATAAAGGCGAATTGGTAAGCAAGCATTAAGCTCAAGTGCATTGCATAAAGACTTACGAGGGCAATATTTTCCCCTGTTAAAATGGTAGATTTCCTCACTGCAACTCCACCTCAGAGTTAATGCGGAAAAGTTTCTCCAAGACTGAGAGCATCTTCATTGTTGGAGGGTAATTTTAGGTCACTGGGAGGGAAGGGAGTCTTTGACTTTGCAGGAACAATTATCTTGGAACGCAAGGGTGTCAGAGTGATTAGTCAAGGTAACCAGCAGAAAGACAAGATCGGGGGGCCAGCCCCCTGGCCAAGTGGTTAGCTTCATGCGCTCGGCTTCAGCAGCCTAGGGCTCACCAGTTTGGATCCTGGGCGCGGACCTACACACCACTCACCAAGCCATGCTGTGGCAGCATCCCACATAGAAGAACTGGAGGGACTTAAAACCAGGATATATGACTATGCACTGGGGCTTTGGGGAGGAAAAAAAAGAAAGACAAGATCACACTGGTGATGCCTAGCGCTCTCCCTGCACAGCGAGCAGGGATGTGACCAAGCCGCAGAGGAGAAGACAGAAGTCACGGGACAGAGGAGGGAGGGCGGGCTGCACCAGGGCTGGTAGAGGGATGTGGAGGAGGAGGCTGCCGGGAGGGAGGCAGGCTCCATCAAAGACATGAGCGCTGGAGGAAACACTGGCTTACATCTGAGACCCACAAGGAGGGCAGGAACAGCATTAGCCCTTGTAATCTGTAAGGAAACCAGCCCTGGAATTCCTTAAGTTTCCAGAGGATTCCACCTCGGGCGCTGGAGAGGTTTTCTCGTGTTCACTTCTCTCTGCCTTGCTTCAGCATTTCGAGTAGTTCGTCATCCTCCGGCAATAAACCGTCTGTTCTTGTCCCCATATACTCACTCTCTGGGAAGGCATCTCTCTATTCACATGACTTCAATTAGTGCCTAATTAGAGATTAATTCCAGTTCTACAGCTCTACCTTTGATGCTTAACCTCTGCCCCGTCCTGTAGTTCGTGTTCTCACAATACTCAATCCCCTGGACTCCTAAGAGCACATATGGACAGACCAGCTCACTTTTACCTCCTATCTCTCCCAAACTACCTGTGCTGAGCGAGGCCTCCTGACCTGAAACCTTAGAGCAGAGATGGGGAGTGGATTTCGACTATGCACAATACCAGTGGTCGGCAAGAGCTAACACAGGCCGCTGTGTTTGGAAGGAATCTGTGCTTGAGCAGGAAAAAGAGCTGTGATCAATTAGTGATGGCCGCCACGGGCCCAATATATAGAGGGATGACATAAGTACCATCTACT